AATAATTGCCAACACAGTTTCTTTGGTATTCACTTGCTACCTGCCCTGCATTTGCCACGTTGCAAGTTCAGAGCGGTCCGATTCGTTTGATTTATTTGCCACTTTGTTGCGCGGATATATTTTCAAGCCAATTAATGACGAGTGTTTACCATCACATTGTACGAATAACGGGACGCACTCATCTCTCCGTCTTTGCTTAATCTCGTTTATGCGATTCGCAATGTGGTGCCTGTGGTCCCCAGATGCAGATCTACGGCAAAACGGTATCCTGATCCTCGTGCACTACATGCGTTTCTTTGACAGCGAAACATTCGAACAAAATAGTAGTGACTACTGGTTACTTTAACCATATTTCTTTGGGAAATTCCAAACATTAACGTCGCCTTTCGCATCATGTGCTTCGTTTTCAACCTTACCGCAAGGTACCAAAACCAAATCCACATGTTTTACATGTCTTGGCAATGGTACTGCTTTCGCTGTGGCTGATTGTTACGTGCTCCCGACCCTATTAACTAGCCCTCCATTGCCTTTCTGCTGCGGGACTGATTCGCCAAACGTGCCAGGCTTGGATGGCATAGCTCCTCACTGACCATCAAGAGGCTATTTTGCTGCAGTTTCTATTTTTCATCTTTGTTGGCCCAAATTCCGCAGAAAACATGATTCTGGACAGTATCCAGCTGACTAGGTTAACCAACCAAGTCGGAACTCAATGTTTGTCCTATGGGTGTTCACAATCTTCTCGTAGGGCATCGCCCAGTTTATCTAGATAGCGAGAGCACTTGTTCTTGCACGGCACTGAAGTATCTAGGAGTCACACTGAGTTATGGATTACTCTTGTCAGTTGGTCTGAGCGCAGTATTCACAAATCCAAAAGGTCATCGTCAGATCCTTCCCCACCTCAAACAATTTACTTCTTCGGTTTCTCACTGCATTTGTGTTCCCGTGATTTTTTGAGATTTCGCCAAGCAGGTGTCGCTGAAACGTTTAGCGCGATGGTCGATGGCTAGGTTGTTGAGGAGCGCCAATTTCATGCATGACCAAGAACTAGAACCCGGCATCTACAGGTTGCAAACCAACCGTCTGGACCAACCTCCTTAAATTTTGACAGAAATTACGAAGCTCTGCTTGACATAATCCGCACTTCACTTGTATGTTTAAACACCTTTTGGCAGTCGGTTGTATTTGTGTCACTCGTTTGTGCAATTTCTGTTGGTAACAGATACTTATCTATCAAAATGCTCCAAACACTAAGTGAAGTTTTTTTTCGATTTTCTGCGACATTTGTCTAACCTCTTTGGCATTCTGATGGATGCAGTTCACGTACCGTTCTTCGTTTTCTTAGGTTTATAAGCATCACCACTCTTTGATGCGGTTCTATGTGCTTCGGAATCGTCCCCCTACTTTTTATGATCTGGGCTTCCGTGATACGTTCATTTGCGCCTTACGCTACGCTCTTCAAGCCTTGAATTTCATACTGTCGATTCCATCTCTACTCGTTATCTTTTTGAAGCATGTTTTGGAGCGAGCGACTGGTCACCAAAGCTCGAAGCTGGTTTACGCGAACAGTGAAGCTTGAGCCGGACCTCGGTGATGCTTGGGCCTACTACTATAAGTTTGAGCTGCAACATGGTACAGAGGTGAGTCCGGGTTTTGTGTTAAAGGTCGAGTTTATGTTATTTCTGCGTTGCGCACCACGACTCGTTGGCTTATGGATAATTGTTTCGGTTAACATTCTAACTTCCTGGGTCCTGGTCACAGCCCTGACGAGTGTCCCGAGCAGTAAACACCAGACATTTATTGGATGTTATTTTTATATTACCTTGACATTCTATCAACGTTGCTATTCTTCGTCCACCTGATCAATTTTTCGTGTGCTTGTGATTATTTTCCTTTCGATGCTTTCAACCTGACCTTTATCCTGGTTCAACATGCACCCGAATCCAACCGGAGTACACCACTTACGCGAGATACGGCTGCAAGTATGCCTTTGTTTAGTTTGCGCTTTGTCTATACTTTAGTCGAGATTCGTCACCAACAGGACGGTTGACAGTCAGATGGAGGACAACGCGAGAGTAACATTACTGCTTCATGCACGAAAGATATTCCAGTACTACATCAGTGAATATCAACACTTGATGCTCTCAGTTCGTGCGTGCAACGCTACGCAGGCACCGATGGTCAGAGTCAGTCTATCTCTCTAAAAGCTCAGCGGACGTATCCTTGCTCAGTTCAGTGACACCACTTGTACAACAGCAGTGCACAGTCCAGTCTGCATTAATAATGACCAGCATGATTTTAGTGAGTAATCGAGTTCATAGCAGCTAGCTTACTATCTAGATAGCTGAACTACCCGTTAATCCAATGATTTTCCGGATTGGCAGTTAGCCTACCTGGCTTGTCAGCTAATCATTATTGTTAAGCGTGTATCCCACTATAGTCGTTGTAGATTTAAAATTTCACACAGGTCTTACAAATTCGATTCCTAACCTCTGCAGTGATTAACTCACTAGTGTATAAGTTAACCGATCGACAACTTCGATTGGGTGTTCGTTCACTACGATAACCGATGATGTTTTGGCCCAGTGCCAGGCATAACATCTTTATCCTTATAATTTGTCAGTTGGTCACCTAGCAGAACTTCCAATATTGAAACGGTAGATGGAACAGGGTCTTTCGTTCTTTTCGATCGCAGTGCTGAAGGGAGGAGCTCTTTAAACGTACAGCTCACTTTGTTACACAGGCACCTGATTTTGTATGAATTGCCCATTTTGGCTAAATTCATCGCTTTACTTGATGTCACTATTTGTGACATCGTTTTGTATTTTTGAATAACACCTCCTTTTTATGGCTTATCCTGGTAAACTCAAACGACCCTTCACGTCATTCATGTGGTATCCAATCACTTCGTCGCAACGAGACTGCACCTCTGTCGCTACGAGAGTGTACCTTAATGTGGTGCGACGGTTTGCGTACCTCTTTGACCCATTGAGCTATACTGGGTGGTGCATCCGGAACCTTTGAGAGCTATTCCTACGTGGTTAAAGGCCAGACAAACTCAGTCTCCTGATCCTCAAGGTTGGGAGTTTGAAATGGGATGGTGTCCATTACCATAACGCCACTGCCTTGCGGAGAGGCTTTTGAACCAAAGACTTTGTTTGAGGACCCTAATCGTCTTTCTGTCTAACTCTGGGCGCCCTGGCAGTATCCCAGCCCGCAAACAACCATGACATTTTCCCCAAACTCTAACTACATCCTACATCAGCCGTCGCGCAGATTATCAAGGGTCGCATTATCTGCTGCACACAGCAGGACGGATAAGCGAAAACATGCTACTGCTGGCACCCTTCTTTTTTTCACTTGTCTCTCTTACTCCCCTGCCAACTCCCATTACTAACCTACCTACCTATAGTTCCCAGCTTAATTGACAGCAGCCGTTGTGCCACTGGAGTCGAACCATCTGAAGTTATCTTCTTGCACCACGCACTGGACGCCTATTGGCAGCAGTCCCTTATAATGTTACGCTGTTTCGTTTCGTTAATGGCGTTCAACGTCCGCACATAAGTCAACAGGTTGCACTCGCACGGACGTTGGATGCACTGGGTATTGACATGTGTTACGTATCCGAAACTGGGATCAATGACTCTAATGGGGTTGTTGAATTAACTGCGCCCGGATTGCGCTATCGCTATTGGTTGCACGCATCTGGAAACACTGATGTGGCAGCTTTTGGTCTAGCTGGGGTAGGTATCGTACTCAGCTCCAAGGCTGGATCATCATTGGTTGATTGGATTTCTGTGAACAGTCGTCTGTGTGCGGCCTGATTGGCGACATCGACCAAGGTTGATTCACGAAGTATTACAAGACGCTGTTTGTGGTTTCCGCCTATGCTCCCACCGACTGCAGTTCTGATGCTGCCAAGCACACATTCTACCACGAACTGAACACGCTACCAATCAGTGATACTAGTTCAGATATCGTAATACTTGCAGGGGGTATAAATGCACAAGTAGCTCGCCTGCGCTTTTCAGAAGCTCATCTAGCCGGGTTTAACTCCGACCGTACGGACAACGGCGAACGTCTTTTGCGGAGCATCAGCTGTTTCTTAGTAGCACTGCTTTCAGACACAGTGAGCGCCGAAGTGTCACGTGGCCTCTTCCTGTAGTTGGCCAGCCAGGGGTCCAAATGGATCACACTACCATAGGTTACAGGTGGTTTGTTTCCATTCTGCATTTTCGCTCGTTCTGGAGTACTTGCGTCCACTCTGCTCATGTCTTGATACGCGGTCGCTTTTCCATGAACTTTACCGAGAGACGCACCAAGCGTCTCCTCCGAATGGCAACTGAGAAATCATCCCAGCCTTCGGTCATGCAAGCCTACCAAGTTACACTCCGTATCGAACTTTCCCTCCCTTGTCCTAATGACCCACCTTCAGTGGAATAGGATCTCGCTCGCCATGCACCACGCAGGAGCATCTGCTTGTGGTACTGTCAATCGTCATTCGAGAGGTCGGTGAACCTGTTGAAATCCAGAATAAACCTCCCGGCTGGCTCTGATCACAATGTGACCAGACGGACTATTAGGCGCGAACTAAAGCGGAGCCTGCGCGCTGACAAGGAAGGCTGGTGGACTAGTCTAGCTCAAAAAATGGAGGAGGCGGGAGCAGTAGGGAACTATCGCAAGCTTTTCCAGCTGATCCGCATCACTGGTTTCAGGAAACCAGACGTCAGTGAAACAATCAGACTGTGTGGGTGCTCTGACTCGCAATAAGGAGCGCCGTATGGTTTGTTGGGCGGAACACTTTCAAGATCAGTTCAGTTGGCGCCTCGTATCCGGACCTCTTTCTGCTCAGTTGATGCAGGATGAGCCATGGGCGGTTAGTTTAGAGGCTCCATCGGAGCCTGATGTCCGAAACGCGATCACAGCCCTTGAACGTTTTCGTGCTGCTGATTTGGATTCCCTTCCACCTGCAATATCTAAGGATGGAGGTGTTGTCCTCTGCAAAGCACTGACCTCCCTGTTCTTAGCAGTATGGAAGAAGATCGTCCCGGCTAACTGGGGCAAATCGATTATAGTGGTGGTATAAAAGAAAGGTAGTCGCACCGATTGCTAACCACAGGGATATTAGCCTAACGTCCGTAGTGACAAAATTACGGGAATCCCGGATTTGGGAAGAGAAGGCAGGTTTCCGCCCAAGACGGGGTTGTATGGACCACATACTCGCTCTACGGCAGGTGCTAGAGCAGCGCCAGGCATATCGCAGACCGACAGTAGGTGTGTTCCTCGATTTCACGAGTGCGTTCAGTTCAGTAGATCTATGCATTCTGTTCAAAATACTTGCGCGGAAAGGTGTACCCATGAAATATGTGCACATTTTGCGTGCTCTGTATTCAAACACTACTGGCCGCATCAGCGTCTACGGTGACCTGTCGAATACTTTCCGACAACAAATGGCACTCGTCAGGGTTGTCCGATCTCCCCACTTTTGTACAGTTTTGTTGGGGCCTCCATCATGGTGTGTTCCCTTATGGAATCTCACAATGCAGACGTTGAGGTGCTACCTGGTGAATGGTTAGTTGATCTTGATTATGCGGACGATATCGTCTTGCTGTTTATCGAGGTTGGGACGACGCAATAAACCTTCAAAGTGCAAATTGTTGCTGCAGGACCACCAACCACTTGATGACCCCTTGACCCTCGATAGCGAGAAACTCGAGGTAGTTGATCAATTCACTTACCATGGCAGCTGTATCAGTAACCATGGCTGTCTAGCTACTGAAATCAGTTCAAGTATTGCAAAAGGTCGAACTGCTTTTTGAATCTACTGCATCTTTGGCGACAGAAAGGGGATTCCCTCTGTCTAGAAGGCGGTGTTTACAAGGCCACAGTGAGGACCGTGCTACTCTATGAGAGTGAGACTTGGTCCCTTCGTTCTGAGGCGTCTTTGATCATCGCTATCTGCGGAGCTTTGCTGGTCTCGGGTGTCATCAGCGTGCCCACAACGACGATGTACATAGGCGAGTGCTAGGCAACGATACCCAAGCTAGTTCGTTAGAACAACATGTAGCACTGAATAAGTTACGCTGGCTCGGGCACTTACTACTTATGCCCGGTCACCGCTTACCGAGGATGGCCTTGTTTTGTCCACCAGATGTAGGGTGTCGCAAGGCTCGAGGTGAACGAAAGTTGACTTGACAGCGGGAAATGTACTTACTGACGACCAAACTTGGTGCCGTCGGTCCGTCTCGCCTTCCAGGCTGGAGTTCACGTGACTCGCCTTATGCTTGGCTCGAGACTTTACAGTATATGGCTCGCGATCGACACCAGTGGTGTGTCCGCTGCCATCTCCTAGTCGGATTGCCTGTTTAATGTGTGTTTGGTGCTGATTTATCTGCGGGGTAATAGCGATTATGACCTGGGACAGTGAAAGCCACAAGGGAGCTGTCTCGCCGACCCTGCCTTATCTTTACACGGTAGCCAGCTGTTTGTGATAGCGTTGTTGACAAGGTGTAGGCGCCTTGACCCTGAGTGTTTGCTTAGGGCATTAAGGTATTCCGGTAATCCCTCCTCTCTCTTATTCTTCTTTTCGTAGGTCCTTATGGTTGCATGACAGCGAAACATCAGTCCAAATGGCTGATGTACTGCTGCTGCTACTGATGATGGTGATTTCCTTTGACGTCGCCTTGCTTTGTTGAGAAGTATTTCTGCTCCCAACCCTCTTGGTGTGTTGAACAACTTGTCCTACCCGGTCAAGATTAATCAGCGACTTTTCACCAGTAACTTGGTTGCTTATTAACGGTCCGCTATCTATCCTCTCGGCATCTAGAACGCACGCAACAATTAGGCTTATAGTTTTGATAACGCTAAATTTTAAACGGATGCTGAATTTATTATACTTTCTTATTCCCAGGATCAACAAAGAGAAGTTATGCAGCGCTGCGTCAGCGCGGAACCTCACCACGGTGAAACGTGGTGTCGCGTGGCTAAAGCCCCGCGCAACTGGCGAATGAAGACCAAGGAGATACTCTTCCTCGTCGCTGACACGGTTGTTGTCCCAGTGTGATTGAACCTAGTTCATTTCATGCATTGTAATATAACGTTGAGTATTCTGCATCATTTCGGTCAATAAATTGTATTTTGTAGCATCATTCTTTCATCTGAAATATCACAAAATGTGTAAGCTTGATTATCACAAATTAACATCCTCATCTTCATGGTCCTGAAGGTGTCGCACGATAGATCCGTCCCATCAAAAGTGCATTGGTGGTAATTTCTTTGGACCCTTTTCGCGTAGGCTTTGTCGGTATCTCGTGTTTGTGAGTTTACTGTTGGAAAGAAAAAAGCAATCATCGGTAAATCCCAACTTGGAACTCTACCTAGATGAAATTGTGCAATGTGGACTTCCAAGCCTTCCCTTAAAATTCTTATGGCACAATACACGCGGCGTACTGAATGCCAGCTCAACTACCACTCTATGTTAGAGAGTAGTAGGGAAGGTTTTTCGCAGCTTGATTCTGTCAGACATGATAAGCATCGGTGGATGGATCCCAAATCGGAATGAACTATCGACCCACTCTCCACCGAATTCCAAATTCCTTACAACGGTTCAGTTAAGATTGCTAGCCACACATGTAACTCTCCGCGGACCGGCAATTTCCTTTCCCCACTTGACCCTGACTGAAAAAATCTACAATGTACCCACGAACATATTGACCTCTGACCGCTGTAATCATTCATTGATGAACTGCAAATTGATTCGTCCCTGCATGTAGCTTTGTCATGATCGCTATAAAATGCCAATGTTAAGATAATTCACTTCGCCTGATGAAGCTTTTGTGTCAAAAGCGAAACGTTGTCTATTACCATAAATACATTAACCGGTCGTCTACCAAGTTTTCTGAAATCATGACTTCCCGATCGGTTCCAAATATGTTCCAAGATATTGAATACAGATACGGACCTCGTGTTCGCAAATTGGCGAGTGAATTTGTGCGCCTAGCAGGCATCGAAGCCAATTGGGAAAACCATCGGATTTTTAACATCAGGTGTCTCAAGAACAACATTATTCCCAAATCCCTCACAGTTAAACCTCCGGATTCTTCGTACACCTCGGCACGAATAGCATTCAGAGCAGGCAAAGCATTTCTGAGACAAAGAATCTACCTAACAACTAGACGTCTGGGTGAAATCCGCATCCATGCGAGTCAGCTGCGTTTGGATTTACAGACTGCGGTGGCACTGACTGATTATGACAGACTTTGCAATAAGGCCTTCGAAGTTAAGGCAGCAAGAGGACGGGAGTCGAAGGAAAGGCAAATACGTAAGTTTGAACACTTGATGGCTGCACATAATAAGGTCGATAGTCGTACTGATAAGCAAGTATCTAATAGCAACTATTGTACAGTTGTTAACATGTCAGATAGAGTGTTAAGTGTAACAGAGCGTAGAGTTTTAGAAAAGGGTCTGAATTTTACTATCAGCAAATCTAAACTAAGGGCAGAAGATGTAATTCCTGGAGTTGAACCCGTTATGACTAGATTACCACTTGAAAAGGCTGAGGACATCCGCGCCCAATTAGCAAATATACTTAGATTTCAACAGCCGGTAGAATCGAATCTTGCTCCAGCTGAACACTTAGCGTTAAAGAGCCTGAAAGAGGATACTAGTATTGTCATTACAAGAGCGGATAAAGGTAAAGTAACAGTGGTAATGAATAAAACAGATTATTTAGAAAACATGAAGGAGCATTTGACCACGGGACCATACAAAGAGGTTGAGCAGAAATCCATTACATCGGTAATGAATAAGAAGAAATCAGATGTCGCTAGTTACCTAAGGACCGTGAAGGACAGTTTAGGTAAGGGCAAATGGTACAGCATTTATCCGAAGTCGGCTATTCCACCTAGAATTTACGGTCTCCCAAAGATACACAAGCCCAATGTCCCCTTGCGACCTATAGTGGATGGCATAGGCTCTCCCACACATGAACTCGCGAGATATCTGGCGAGCCTGCTGCAACCCCTAACAGGGAGAACGAACACATTTGTAAAGAACTCTTATGAGTTTGCAGGAATGGTGCGAGGGGTGAGCATCGAACAAGATGAATTGATGGTCAGCTTCGATGTTACCTCCTTGTTCACGAATGTACCTAAGGAGGAGGCGTTACGATTAGCGAAAAACTGCTTGGTAGGGGACAGCAGCTTAGAAGACAGAACAAAGCTGACAGTGGATCAACTGGTCGAGGGGATAGCTTTGTGTCTCGACATGACTTATTTCACATTCCAGTCTAGAATGTACACTCAAGAACAGGGTCTGGCCATGGGATCTCCAATATCCCCCGTATTAGCCAATATGTACATGGAAGAGTTTGAAAAGAAAGCATTACCAAATTTCCGTGGTGCCCTGAAAGTATGGTGGCGCTACGTGGATGACACTTTTGCGATTATAAAAAGAGATAGAAAAGAGGAATTTTTAAACTATTTGAACTCCATTGACGATGCGATAAAGTTCACCATGGAACTTGAGTCGCAGAGCGGTACACTTCCGTTCCTTGATTGTCTGGTACATAGGAAGGAAGGAACGTTAAAAACGACAATGTATCGCAAACCAATGGACACAGATGGGGTACTTAGCTATAGTTCAAGCCATCCGAAGCACGTGTACGCAGGAATCGCCTCATCACTATTTCACAGAGCAAGTGCTCTGTGCACGGAGGAAGAAGATAGGAAGGCAGCGCAGAGGGAGGCGATGAAAAACCTAATAGCTAGCGGATATCCGAAACGATTGGTGAAACGACAGCTACAGAAATGTCTACACCCACGCGCAACACCAACCACAGAGTGGATAGCGACAGTGGGTATTCCGTATAAAGAAGGAACTTCGGAAGCGATTCGGAGAGTACTGAATAAGGAGAAGATAAGGGTAGTTTTCCAGAAGGGTCGAACGCTACGGTCCACGCTTGTGCATCTAAAAGATTCACTACCCTTAGATAGAACAACTAACTGTATTTACAAAATTCCATGTAAAGATTGTACGCAAGTGTATATAGGCCAAACAGCGAGGGAATTACGTACAAGGATTTCAGAACATAGGCGACACATATCACGACCTCCGCGAAATGAGTTAGAGTATGGAGCTCTACTCAGAGATTCGGCAATAGCAATGCATGCGCTAGACACGGGGCACAAAATTGACTTCGAAAATGTGGAGGTTATCAGGAAGGGATTACGATCAACCAAACAAAGGCTGATTGCTGAGGCTATAGAAATAAGCAAGGCTAACAACTGCGTGAATCGAATAGACGGAGTAGGGCTGTCTAGTGCCTGGCGTCCAGTCTTACTCCGACCAGCTTGATAAGCATCGGTGGATGGATCCCAAATCGGAATGAACTATCGACCCACTCTCCACCGAATTCCAAATTCCTTACAACGGTTCAGTTAAGATTGCTAGCCACACATGTAACTCTCCGCGGACCGGCAATTTCCTTTCCCCACTTGACCCTGACTGAAAAAATCTACAATGTACCCACGAACATAGTGACCTTTGACCGCTGTAATCATTCATTGATGAACTGCAAATTGATTCGTCCCTGCATGTAGCTTTGTCATGATCGCTATAAAATGCCAATGTTAAGATAATTCACTTCGCCTGATGAAGCTTTTGTGTCAAAAGCGAAACGTTGTCTATTACCATAAATACATTAACCGGTCGTCTACCAAGTTTTCTGAAATCATGACTTCCCGATCGGTTTCAAATATGTTCCAAGAAATATATATATATATATATATATATATATATATATATATATATATATATATATATATATATATATATATATATATATATATATATATATATATATATATATATATATTGAATACATATACTTTCAACTCAGCTGCTAGAACTGTTGAAGCTCTTGCAGTAGAAGTCCGTATTGCGTCAACGCAATTTAAAATTGTGCTGCTGTATAGGAGCCCTGATAGCACTTCTAAAAGTATCATTGATTCCATCCGCAGTCAATCTGTGAAAAGATGCTTGGTACTGGGGAATTCAACGTCCCTGAAGTAAATGAGCACGACCTATCCTTCGGGGCAGCAACAAAACGTTTGGCTGCCTAGCTTGTCGACTGGACACTGGAAGTACCCTTACATCCCTTTGTCAATCGACCAACCAGGTACCTGGAGGGTCATGCTCCTTCTTTCTTAAACTTAGTTTTCGCAAAATCGGTTGACTTTGTGAGAGACTTTGAGTATGCTTCCCCTTTGGGAGCCAGTGACCATGTGTGTTTGTCATTCAATTGTGCTCTCGTTAGAGGCTACGATTCACGCAGGGTCAGAAGTCGGAACATTTGGCACACTGACAGTCTATTATAGCCAAGGCAGTAAGTTCAGTATGCATCATCTTGCCGGATGATGCTATAAAGACGGCCTGGAATACGTGTAAGTCCTTACTCTCGAATATATCCTTCCTCACATACATTTTTCGGTTAATAAGGCTGAAAAAGCAAAGCCACAGTGCTTGGACTCAGTTGCACGCCAGGTACTAACCAGACCGGCTCGATGCTGGCGCGTCTACCAGACAGCTCTCTCGGAATGTACTTTTCGGCGTTATCATGAAGCGCGAAATCCATGTAAGAGTCATTCACGGGCTGCTAGACTTTGCTTTGAGACGGAGCTGGCTAACCCAGCCTCCGTAAACGATTCTTCGCCTACGTCAAAAGGCGTAGTAACGTTGGCTTATTTGTCCCAGTGTTATGTGGCAGCGACGGCGCCACTGGCAATACTGACCACGAAAAAGTCTGTTTACTCAGTACGCACTATGCCGAATCTGTTGAATAATGATTTATAACGGGTAAAAAAGCAGGTGCTTGACATGTCCCGTAGGGTATTTAGCGTGCCAAAAACTGATAGCGAAGGGATAATGGAGTCTTCAGTTCGGGCGCTTACAGATGCAGCTGCACTGTCGTATAAAGGGAGTTTGAAATGAGAATGTACACAAAGCAACAGGGGAGTGGTTATTGTTCACATCATAGGCGAAAAAAATAAAAAAGATAGCAAGGACAACGCTTACTCGTGTGCAACTATCTTGGGTCGACAGGATACAGAAATCCAGTTTCTATAGTAGTAGCGTTTATCAAATTTCGTGCAAAGCGTTTGGAGTGACGCATTCTCGAGTAGGGTTTTGGCACTATCCACTGTCTGTTGTGCATTAGTGCCAGCATCGGGTGGTCATGAGCTATAGCACGTAATGTAAATGTGACAGGGTATCGTCAAGGCGTTTTTTGAAAAGGGATAGGGTAGGTGCATTAATTACATGTTCCGTGATGGCGTTCCAAGCCTGATACTCGAAGGGAGAAATAGTTTCGCCGGCATTCCAGGCGGCTGTACTGCGTGGCCAACTTAAACTGGTGACCTCTTAGCGAGGTGTTTTGACTGAGTATTAGAAGGAAATGGCATGGGTGGTTGGGGTCCCTCAGGATTAGGTACACCATTATGAGATCGCCCCTTAGACGTCGATAACGTCCACTGTAGATTTTAAGGGTCTTCAGCCTGAGTGGGTAGGTGAGGCTGGTCAAACCTCTGACGCTCTTCGTTGCCCTAAGCTGTGCGGTATCGAGCGCGGTGAGATGGTGCTTGAGCCAGGGTTGCCACGCTTGGATAGCGTATTCCGCGTGCGGCCTCACGTACGCGCTAAGCATTTTTGGAAAGATCGAAGGGTCAAACTTCCCGAAGGCTCTGCGAAGAAGGCCGAGGTACTGATTTGCTTTCTTAGCTGCCTTTTCAGTCTGCCTCGAACAACCGAGGTCATCTTGAACTATCACGCCGAGATCGCACTCGTGAGAAGCCCGCTGTAGAATTTGTGATCCTAAGCGGTAGCAGTGCAAACTCTTGTGCCGTATACTGAGAACCTTGCACTTGGTGACGTTGAAATACAGCATGTCGGTGGACCATATGTACGCTTTGTCCAGGTCCTCCTGTAACACTGTGTGATCCTCCACTGCAGCTATAGTGCGCCATACCTTTAGGTCATCAGCAAATAGCAAGCAGTTAGAAGACAGCACACTCGCGAGATCATTTATGAAAACCAGAAACAGGTGGAGTCCAAGTACCGAGCCTTGAGGTACGCCGCACTGAACTTCGATGGATTCTGATAGGTTGCTCCTAACCCTAACATTCAGGTGACGTTGTAGGAGAAAGTCTCCTATCCAGCCCAGAACAGGATCGCCGATTCCATATTTCTGGAGTTTGTGGAGGAGAATGCGATGGTCTATGCGGTTGAATGCCTTTGAGAAATCCAAGTAGGCCGCGTCGATTCCAACACCGGCGTCCACAGATTCCGTCCAGTTTGCACGAGCAATCAAGAGATTAGTTGTACAGGAGCGATTTCTGCGAAATCCATGCTGCTCCGGAACGAGAATTTGGTTGTTCTCCAGGTACCCCATTAAAGCCTCAGCTACGATGGACTCCATAACCTTGGAAATCACAGGAAGTAGTGTTATCGGGCGATAATCTGTTGGTTCAGCACGGCTACCACTTTTGTAGATAGGCGTGATGATTCCGTGCTTCCACATCGTGGGGACGTGCATCTCGTCCAGACGTCGTTGAAAGGAAATTGCTAGTGGTCCTGCCAAACTCATGGCAATAACTTTCAACACCTTCGGACGAGTGCCGTCTGCACCCGGGGAGCTGAACTCGCGCAGAGACATCAGCCTCTTCAGTACAGCTGCGGAGGTGAACGATATATGATTAAGCCCTGATGGCGGCGTTATCTGCTTAGGCAGGATGTATGATGGTTGCGCGCGTTGGAAGGTGCGGCTAAATTGTTGTCCAAAGACGTTGGCCGCCTCTTGTGCGGTTTGGGCTAACCCGCATGCTGTGTGCAGAGCAGGAATATCGCGCTTAACACGGCGCAAATTGTTTACGTGTTTGTATTGCAGTTTGGGATTTGAGCAAAACTTTTCCACCAGATCTTGTTGGTTCTTAAGTTTATCCTCCCGAACGAGTTTGACACAGTGGTTCCTTTGTATTGTGTAGTCATCCCAGGTATGGTCGTTCGGGGAGGCTATATATGTGTGCCATGCCAAGTCCCTTAATGCCATGCATTTACGTGTCCTGCTCCTTACGAAAGACTTCATCCTTTTAGGCTAGACTTCATCCTTTTAGGAAGAGGAGCAGTTGCCAAACCTATAATTCTCATTAGTGTGCATCATTTCGGAGGCACAGGTTCTCCATCTGCTTCAGGGGCTAAATCCTACTAAATCCGCTGGGATGGATGATATTCACCCAAAGCTGTTGTACGAACTCGCAAGCGAGCTTCGTGGTCCAGTTACACGTTTGTTTCAGTTGTCGCTTCACAGCTGCTTTTGGCCTAAGGACTGGAAGGATACTATCGTCTGCTCAATTTTTAAAAGGGGCCACAAGCATCTCCCTGCAAATTATAGACCGGTAAGTTTGACAAACGTACTGGTCAAGTTGTTGGAGGAGTTAGTTAGGGATGTGATTGAAAACCATTGGCGGGAGTTTGGTCTGCTCAGTCCACTTCAACACGGTTTTCGC